GTCAGATCGTATCAGATCTTACAAGATCTCATACGATACACGATTTTTTATGAAAACTTGTCACAAGATCTGACGATATTGGGGGATTCGTTTTTTTAAAGATTTTTGTCAGATTCAGAATGAAAGATGTCATTGGAAATCTAATAACATTCTGATATTAAGAAACATATAAGGAAAGAATAAAAGGCTCTAGTCTCATCTTATCTAATCAAATAGGATTCATAAACAAAACAAACTTACAACATTATGTAATCCAAATCTTGTCTGCTCCTACTTGATCCTGCATGATCTATCGTGTTCTTTCACTGATTCGAGAATTATTGATTCAATAATTTCTGTTACGAAGAAATGTACAAAATATAGAAAATTGTGTTGTGCAAGTGAACTTTTTATATTATTGTAATCGTAAAATCATTTTTGACTTGACAAATAAATGCTTTGTATAATAGATTAGTCAAAGTACAGATGTATCTTGGAAACTTTCACATAATAGAGAACGTTTTTTCTTCATAAAATATTTCGACAGAAAAAATATCGATGTTCAAGTTTTTCTAAGACTATCAGGAGATGAAAAATTTAATTTTTTTCTGTTTATTCTGTACTATGTTCTGCAACATTTATTTTTGTATTCCTTATTCTTTTTTATATTGATATCAATAATAGAGAAATTATTGTATTTCATTTAGTTTCTTTCTATATTGACAATATAGAAGATAGTATATTAAGTAATTTTTTTTACTATATGCCTCAGAATATTTTGCTACATTGAAAATAATATTTTTTTTATTTGTTAGTTATACATAATATAGAAAACGATATAATATTTGATGTATTTGCACCTATATGCTTGCACAGATATTTTCATCCTTATTTTTCTATATTGATATTGATAATGTAGAAAATGATGCATTATTCTTTTTTCTTTTATATGTTTGCACATAAATTTAAATTTTTTTACATTGAAAAGATACAAGATAAGTTTTGCTATTTGTTTATTTTGCTATATATATATAGAAACCAATGTAATATTTGATTTACTCTAAACTATGTGCCTATACATTTATTTTTATTCCTTATTTATGTATCTTGATAATATAGAGAATAATATATTATTTGACTCCTATACTACTATTTGCTAACGCATATATCCGCATTTCTTTATACTGGATACATAGAAAATAACTTTTTATCTGCTAGGGTCCTATATTGATAAGATAAAAGTACTTTTATTTTATTAGTTATTTTTTTGTATATATATGTTTATATATATAATGTAGAGAACAAAAGAATATTTGATTTATTTTAAATTGTATGCTTGTAAATTTATTTCTTATTGTTTGTTTTTCTGTATATTGATAATAGAGAAAATAATTTTTTTATTGATTATTTTTCTATATATATAATCGAAAATACAATACATGATTTGTTGTAAACTACATGCCTGTACATATAGTTTTTATTTCTTACTTTTCTATGCTCATATTAATACTATAGAAAATAAGTTTTTTTTATTTAATTTCTTTATATTGATAATATAGAGAATAAAATATTATTTTACTTTTATACGACTATATGCTTGCATATATATTTCCATTTTTCTACTCAGGTGGAGAAATCACATAGTAAGATCAGTCATGAATTCTAGTATGATCCTATCAGATCGTACTCAAGAATTGTATATATTCATACAAGACATACAAAGAAATATCATTCGAAAAATCGTCGCCTCAGAAATCTGATGTCAATTTTTTTTACAACAAGTTTCTTATATGCTCCAACACTAGAAACTCGTACGATTATAAAAATATCGTACAGTAAGATTTTAACTTATTTCTTTGGAAACATACATTCTCGTCAATTTCCACCTTTCCTAGCAACTATACTTCAACTTAATTTCACATAGCCAAGATCTCTTTTACTTAATGAACCTAATGCACAGGTACCTACACCGACAGTTACCATTAGACAAAAAAATCCATAACATAATAGTCACAAAAACTCATGCATCAAAAAATTTATACTCTATACTATTAATAAAGAGAAATAAGAAATAAAAATTAAGATTTTCTATATTACAAAATAGAAAAACAAAAAACTAAAGAATATGATCTTCCATATTATTAATACGGAAAATTGGAAAATAAAAATGGAATTTTCTGTACTATCAATACAGAAAAATAAGAAAGAAAAACTAGAATTTTCTATATTATTATTATAGATGTATAAGACACAAAAATTGCTGTTTCTATATCATCAATATAGAAAAATAAAAATTAAATAGGATTTACTACTATATCACCACAGAAAAATAAGAAATAGAAGTAACAGTTTTGTATGCTATTAATATAGAAAGATGAGAAATAAAAATAACCATTTTCTATACTATTAGTATAGAAAAAGAAGAAAACAATTAGGTAAATTGCTCGATTCTATTTTACAGGTACTGTTCTTCATAGAAAAGCTAATGGACTCAACTATTCTCGGATAAATGAAAGAACAGGACAGACCATAGACGATCAGATAAGAACAGGCAAGATCTACATTATGCACCGGTGTATATTTCTTTTCTTTGGATCTTATATGATCTGTTGAGATCTGAGAAGAAGCATTCAGTCTGTCCTTATAAGTTTCTTAGTTTTTGAATCTTGTAAGATTATTTGCTTACAACGTACCATCAGAATCTGAGGGCATGTTTTAAAAAATGAACGCATGAGATATTGTCCGATCTTGTAACAAGATCACAGACAAAATCTTATAAGGTTAAGATCTTATTGGATCTTGTACGATCTGACGTCTGGTTTTTTGACCTGAGTATATATGTTATAGAAAACAATATCATACTTGATTTATTTTAAACCATATGCGTGCACACATATCATTTTTCTTTATTTTTTTTATTGATATTTATAGTATAGAAGGTACTTTTGTTTTATTCAGTTTTTTCTATATTGACATTATAGAGAATAATATATTATTTTAATAGTATTCTACTATATGCTTGGACATATATTTTTATTTTTCTATATTGGAACTATAGAAAAGAATTTTTTTATTTATAACTTGTTTTGAGTGATGTTTTATTGGCTTGATTATTTAACAATGACTTTCAGATGATGTACCGATGAATATCTTTATGAATAAAAATTTTCTTAATGATATGAAATCAATTTGAGTCATACTTGACATATCAAGATTCAACAATATCAATAATGTGAATAATGTGTACTCAGATCGAAACATCAGACGTAAGATCTTCGGGACAGATCTCTGATATTGTATGATCCTGTGATATTAGACGAAAATCGTGCGAAAAATCATAGTGTCTGCAAAACTTACATCACGTTTTGGCAACGGATTCTTCCATGATCATATTATCTGTATGGTTTTAGAAGAATCTTATGCTAAGACTTGCTGTAAGTTTTGCGGATACCATCCCAGGTCAAAAAGTTAGACATCAAGTCCTGTACAATCAGGTGAAATTGCACAAAAAATCGTGGTCTCAGAAATTTTACATCAAATCACACTATAAGATTCTTATAAGATCTTACTGTGGTATAAGATTTTCTATAATCTTACAGTAATATCTTACAGAACAGCAAGATCTGTCAAGAATCTTAAGGTACGACTTGATGTAAGAAATCTGAGATCACGATTTTCGTACGATTTTTCGTCTGATCTTACAAGATCATGCAAGATCAGACGTACGACCATGTAAGATCATACCGTCTGCTTGTTTGACCTGGGATGGTTTTGCGTACAATTTTCGTCTGATGTTATGAGTTCAAGTGAGATCAGACTTAAAGTCTTATAAGATCTTGCAATCATATTGTTTGCTCTGTATAGCTGTGAAAAATCTGTTGTACTCTTATTATATGATCATACAAGATCGTAATGTTCGCTCATATGTTGATTTATTCTTTCAGTAGTCAAAATTTACGATTACACACAACATGAACAAGAAGACATCGTCCACCGCCAGCAATGTTAGCGCTGTTGAAAACAATACCAAGAAAGCATCAGAAACACTGAAGCAAGTCATCACTACAACTACTGCCAATGCTGCTGCGTCTTCAGCGTCATTCTTTCAATCACGGCGCAGAGCACTTACGCAAAACTTTGTTCTAGCCTGGCTCGACACTAATATTGACGACACCAAAAGAGATTATCAAAATTCTCTCACTGAGCTGCGAAACATTGTCTATACCTTAGAACAATTTACTGACGCTGACCAATGCATCGACTATTTGACAAGTATCGAGGATGAAAAAGTCTTTTTAATCGTCTCTGGAAGACTTGGCAAAATTATTGTGCCCCTCATACACGATATAGATCAACTTGAGGCCATCTTTATTTTCTGTAGAAACCAAGATCTACACAAAGAATGGGCAAGAGAATGGCCAAAAGTTCAAGATGTATTCACCTCAATCAAGCCTATCTGTGAGTCATTGAAAAAAGTTGCCCAAGAATGTGACCACGACACGATTCCGATGAGTTTTGCTTCAAATCAGATGATGGTCGAGGCGACAGCATCGAATCAACAAAGTCTCAACCAATTGGAACCGTGCTTCATGTATTCGCTATTATTCAAAGAAATTCTATCGGAAATCGACGAAGACGATGCCAAGTCGGTGAGCGACTTTGTTATCTACTGTCATAACAAAGGCATTTCGGAATCCGAGATAGAATATTTTCAGCGTGAGTACTACCAGAAATCGCCAATCTGGTGGTACAGTTGTGAGTCTTTTCTGTACAGCATGCTTAACCGCGCCCTACGAATACTTGACATGGAGGCTATGACGAAAATGGGGTTTTTCATTCGTAAGCTCCATGAACAACTAGAACAGTTGCACAAGGAACAATCAGAAGAATATACGAAACAATTTATCGTTTATCGTGGTCAGGGGCTCACTAAAGACGAATTTGAACGCCTACTCCAAACGAAAGGTGGACTCCTTTCATTCAATAATTTCCTATCTACTAGTAAAGACCGACATGTAGCGATGAACTTTGCTATACGTGCATTACGTAAAAATGAACAACGTGTAGCTGTTCTCTTTATTATGACAATTTATCCAAATAAAGTATCGGCTTCGACTAGTCCATTTGCTTTTATCAAAGATTACAGTGGCATTCCACGAGAACAAGAAATTCTCTTCTCAACACACACTGTTTTTCGTGTCGGTAAAATCAAACCAACATTTAACTATAATCGCCTCTGTGAAGTTCATTTGACTCTCACAGATGACAATGATCCACAATTGGCTGCTCTAACGCACCGCATGCGACAGGAGCTCTGTGGATCCACAGGATGGCACCGATTGGGTCATTTGATGCTCAAAGTGGGCGAATATAATCAAGCCGAAGAATTATACAATGAATTACTCAAGAAGGCTTCCACTGACAGTGAAAAAGCACATATCTATCATCAGCTTGGATGTGTGAAAGACGAGGAAGGAGAATACAAAGATGCAGCTTTATTTTACGAAAAGTCCCTCGAAATCTCCCGAAAAACTCTCCCGGAAGATGATCCGTCATTGGCTGCTATCTATACCAATATCGGTGGAGTATATCACAATGTGGGTGATTACTCCAAAGCACTTGAATTTTACGAAAAAGCACGTCAAATAAAAGAAAAAGCTCTGACTCCGAATGATCCATCATGCGCAACTTCCTACAACAACATCGGCTCAGCGTATTATCACATGCTTGAATACTTAAAAGCAGTTGAATTTTACGAAAATGCACTGGAAATCGAAGAAAAAACTCTGCCGCAAAATCATCCCTTATTGGCCACTTCCTACTGCAACATGGGTTCGGTGTATAAAGACATGGGGGATTACTTGAAAGCGCTTGAGTTTTACGAAAAAGCACTTAAAATATCAGAAAAAGCTCTGCCTCCGAATCATCCTGATTTAGCTACTTTCTACGGCAACATGGGTCAAGTGTATCACAACATAAGTGACTATCCAAAAGCACTTGAATTCTTCAAGAAAGCTCATCAAATAAAAGAGAAAGCGTTATCTTCGAATCATCCCTCATGGGCTGCTTTCTACAACAACATCGGATCGGTGTATGAGGACATGGGTCATTATCCAGAAGCACTTAAATTCTATGAAAAGGCACTCGAAACATCTGAAAAATCTCTGCCTTCGAACCATCCCGAGTTGGCTAATTCCTATGGCAACATTGGTCAATTATATCAGAATATGAGTGACTACTCAAAAGCACTTGAGTTTTACAAAAAAGCACTCGGAATAAGAGAAAAAGCTCGACCTCCCAATTATCGCGACTTGGCTACTGCCTACAGCAACATCGGCTCAGTATATTTCTCCATGGGTGACTACTTGAAAACACTTGAGTTTTACGAAAAAGAACTAGAAATAAGAGAGAAAATTCGACCTCTGAATTATCGCGATTTGACTACTTCCTACAGCAAAATTGGCTCGGTGTATTACCACATAAATGACTACTCGAAAGCGCTGGAGTTTTACGAAAACGATCTGGAGATTACGAAAAAAACTGTGCCTTCGACTCATCCAGATTTGGCTACTTCCTATGGCAACATTGGTTTAGTGTATAATAGTATGGGTGACTACTCGAAAGCACTTGAATTTTACGAAAAAGGACTGGAAATTACGAAACAAGCTTCGCCTCCGAATTATCGGGGTTTGGCTGCTTCCTATGGAAACATTGGATTGCTATATAGACACATCGGTGATTATTCGAAAGCACTTGAATTTTATGATAAAGCACTTAAAATAAAAGAAAAAGATCTGCCCCTAGATGATTCCGATTTGGCTACTTCCTACAAAGACATTGGTTCCGTGTATCATGATATGGGTGATTATATAGCAGCTCTTGAGGCTCTTCAAAATGCTTTTCAAATTCAACAACAAACACTTGACGAAAATGATTTCGCTCTTAGCCCTACATACTGTTGTTTTGGAAAGATCTATCGTGGTTTGAAAGATTACTCAAGAGCACTTCACTATTTTGAAAAGTGCTACACCATTGTTCAACAAGTCTTATCAGAAAAAGATCCCGCTCTGGCTATAATATATAATAATATTGGTGATATTTATCGATTAATGGGCGATTATGAAACGGCACTTTCATTTCATCAAAAAGCGTTGAATATTCAAGAAAATGTTGAATGTAACCCTCTCGATTGTGCAACAACGTATACAAGTTATGGCGAAACTTATCGAGAAATGAAAGATTATTCAACGGCATTGATATATTTGCAAAAAGGATTACATATTCGTGAAAAGAAACTTCCAAAACATCATCCTGATTTGGCTGTAATCTATCACAATTTAGCAAAATTATATTTGGCTACTCAACAATATAATATAGCCATGGAAAATATTCAACAGGCGATGGACATTGCTCAAGAAAAATTGCCTTTAAATCATCAACATCTTCTAGACTATAGAGAAACATTTGAAAAAATCCGTAAGGAGATGTAAATTTCTTTCTTTCTTTCTTGCTCAATAAATTGGTTCTGATTGCTATTCATCCCTTACGGCTTTGTCTGCTTTCTATCGCACATGTGGGATCATGAACCCACCCCTAAACTTGAAGGGTATATGCAAAGAGCGCTGCGATGGACTAGTAGAACAATAAATGTAAGTATGATGCATATGAAGACAACAGGTTGATATGTAAACATGGTAGGTTTTCCAGAGTATTACATAGCTTTCTCTATAACAAGACACTGAATTCTCTAATCAGAGTACGATGTCACCTAACGAGTGTTGGAAAAAGATTGGTACTCTCCTTACACAACCTACCAAGAAAAAAGGTTAACGTACGAACTCTTTCTCTAGTTGCACATAATGGTTAGCATACCAATCAAAAATGGGTCAACACATATCAATAAAACGCTATTTCATCTAAAATGGATGATGTATACACCAGAGATCCAAACAGGCCATGAGGCCAGCCGGCCTGTCTGCCTGTGACAGGCACAGGCCATGCTTTTGACGCCTGCGCCTGTCACAGGCAGGCCGCTTGAAAATGACAGGCCGCCTGGCCTGTCTACTTTTTCTTCGAAATAGAACTTTCATCTGAGAAATTTCATGATTTTGTTAGCAAACAGATACAACTTTCATTAGTTTTCAAAAAATCACATTTAAGCGCGGTGAATCAGACAAATAGTGCGGAATGAGTATTAAAGATAATTATAGGAAATCAATACCCTTACCATTCTGACGAGATGATGAGCACAAATTTTCATAGTTATCATTATTCACTTGTCATGTTTCTCAGTTTTAGTTAAATTAATTGATTCTAAATCCTTTTTTCTGTTGCAGATTTACCACTGATTGCATTATGTTTCTCTCTTGGTCCCAATACTTTGAGTGACATTGTGATCTGGTATGAGAAGTTCAATGAAAATATTTTTGAACAAAAACCAGATATCTTCCACAAGTTGACTATCTTAGCATTGTTTTTATTTTGTCTACATCAGCAATGTTCAGTTCGTAAACTCTTAATCAGTAATGAAACTTTTCAACGAATGCGAGTACCTGTGAAATTGTCAATACCCACAGACATTACCAACTTTGAAAAAGGATAGAGTTCGAAATTGATATTATTTACACATCTCTACTGCGTCGCGCGTTTTTTGATTCAGCTGAAGGATAGCCTTTCTTTTAGCTACAGACAGACATAATTACTTTCACTTTTACTAATACAAGGCCTTAGAAATTTAAAAATCGGATGGTTTAGAAGACAAATAGCTTTTCATGCGAAATTTTACTATTTATATAATGTTATTAATTTTCATCTAAGTTCATTTTGAAAGATATATACCGTAAAATTCTCTTTAAACATTATATAATATTTTATTACAAACTATGACAAGACAAAGCTACACGAAAAATATTCAAGGTCTCCGAAGCTACGAGTTTTCTAAAGCACAGCCCTAGTGAAACATCTTGTAAGTAAGATTTTGGATCTTGTGTACAAGATCTTGACCAAGATACAAGGTACAAAAATGTGAGTAGATCTTGAAAATTTGGATACAAGATAATCTGATTATCTTGAGTCAAAATCTGTGTAATAAGATGTTGGGTACAAATTCATCTGATTCGGTTATCAAAAAAAAGCGTGCATTCTGGACCCACGATCTTAAAATTTTGCGGAAGATCTGGATTTCATAATATTTTGAAAAATTATTTTGCTACTTCTCGAAACTAGATTGTGCCGAATCGCACAAGAAAACACAATCTCCATTGAAGAATGTTCATGAGGCCGACAATTTTGAAAGTTTTTTCAATTGACCATTGGCCACTAAATTGACTTCTTGTATCTGTAGAAGAAATTTGACTTCAAATTCAGCTTCAACACCAAATTTTACATCAGATAAGCTATTTCAGAAGGAGTCTATGGGCTTTTTTATTTCAAACTGAATTCTAAAATCAAAAAAACCGCACCAATTTCTTCCGAATCAAACTTTTCTCGTTTGATACTACGTAGTCCCACTAAAAACCCTTAGTCCCCCCCACAAAAAGCTTAGTCCCCGCTTAGTCCCTTGTGCAGGGGACTAAAGCCTATAGTACACAAAGCCACAAGCACACCCTCACCCTCACTCGCGCGCCCACACCCGCACCATGGGTGTGGGTGTGTGTGTGGGTCCCAGACCAACACCCACACCCTCAGTCACCCCCCTCCCTCACTCCTAGACTCACGTTTCAGTTTGAAATCAAGTATTATTTTTATTTGATAAATTCAGACTGAAATTAAATAGCCCATAGTATGTTCAGAAGTATCTAGACACATTCGGAAATGAGTTTTACTGATCCTTTTGAATCATAGATATTTGAACCAAGATCTTATAAATCTGTACCTAAGATCTAGTTATAGATCTTGGTACAAGATAATGTGATTATCTTGTACCTAAATTTTCAAGATCTACTCACTTTTCTCTACCTTGTATCTTGACCAAGATTTTGCTTACAAGATGTTGCACTAGGGAGTATAGCATTCATTAACTTTTTGCTAAGCAGTGACAAAAGTATAAGCATATATGAAATTAAATTTTCTGATGCTGTGACGAATGCAGATCTAGTCTTTATAGAAGAAGTGATGCAAAAAGTTGATTCTAGGTTCAGTAACATCATATATTTTTAATAATTAGGAATCGATAATAAATTGACTTTGATTTGTTTTTATTGTAATCGATTCGCTACCAATTGACAATCGATAAAAGAATAATGATTTTAGTCATTTAAAATAGATCTTTGCTGACTTTTACATGAATTGTTTTTTTGTCTGAAAGTATGTCCGCAGTTTTTACACGTAGGCATTGTAGCTGTCTCTTTAATGAAGTTACTTGCTTATTCAGAATGATGCCAATTTTCATCGAGCGATTCTGACTAGAAATCTATCGTTCATTAGAGAAAACGTTTTTTAAGTGAACTGAAAACTATGCTTTTTTTATACTCCGGCTGACTAGAAGTACCTTTGGAAATGAACAGTATTTGTTCTATCCTTAGTTTCACATGCTCTCAATTACAAAGAAGCATGATACCTTTGTTTAATTGGAAAGCTGACAATTCTCATGGACTTTTCAATTAGAGACTTTTCAATGTAGTGATGTAAATTGAATTCAGTGGCTAATACGACTTTTTTTGAAGATTACTAATTCTTTCTACGGTATATTTATCATGATATTGACGTGAAAAAAACACAAAGGCCTAGACAGACAGGCCCAGACAGACCTGAGAAAATGACAGGCAGGCATGCCAGGCCGAGGAAATCAGAGAATAGACACAGGCAGGCTAGACCTTCAAAAAGCGGTCCTGTTTGAACCTCTGGTATACCTTGTCAGAAAACTATTTCAAGGAGTTCTATCGTTCAGCAGCGCTTCTGCACACACTTTTTAATCAATGTTATGATAAATAATCGTACAGTACTAATAAAATTCGAGATGTAGACCGAAACGATACCATCAGAGTCGGCAGTTCGGCTTCGAAGCATTTTTTACAATGATACAATTTTCTTCTAAACTGAACGAATTTTCAAGAATATCTTTTTCTTTTCCGTTTACTGAACGAAGGATTATATAAGCTAAAATGTGTTGATATATTTGTTTTCTTACAAGTGTACAGTCATTAGTCCATATGTGTTTTTATAGTAAGTTTAAATTGATGATTTAAAGCCATGATCACATAGGACTAAATCTTCAGTCAATCATATGTTTTCACTATCTACCTGTCAATTAGTCAGTTTTTTTATACTACTATTTCGGTCAATTAGGTTTTTGCACAATGGAAGTTCAGCCTATCAGAGGTTTTCTGCTTGTAGCTATCATCTAGTCAGGTTTTTTTGTACTAACTGTTAGAAGTTAGAAACTTGCACATATGCTACACAATTAGAGGCTCTATAAATGTTGAAAGTTTCATGTTAAACGATCATTCCTCTCTTTATTGAGCAAGGATAAATTAAAACAGTGCCTAATCGTTTAATTGTGATTTGAAGTTATTTGACTAAGAAAAAGTTGATGATCATAATCTAATCATTTCGAGTTGGAATAAAATCTAAAATACGTCACGTGATTTGATAGAACGAAATCTGCTGTACAAAATTCACTGACTTATGAAAGTTGGGAATTCGCCTTAACGCATTTTCTACGGTCTGAGTTTGAAGCACTACTGTTTGTCATAAACCAATAGTATGATTCAGCAAACAATTTTTCTAGATCAATCACAAATAATAATCAATATAGCAGTGAACTGACCAGCTCATGGAAAACAAAAGTGTATTATTGCAACTCCTTTTCATCTATACAATATTGAAAACATGAAAGTCGCAAAATTTAGTAAAATTTCAACTTTTTAATGTTTTATGATTTTTCGCAATCTCCAGCTAAAATTATATCTCCGAAGTTTCTATAGGAGGACAGTATTGTAAGCTAATTTTTGAATTGCAAATACAACTCATTGAGCTCTGCAAGACTGAAGAACAGTCAATCGATTTTAAGAACTTCCATGTTTTCGTTATCGAAGCCCAATAGAATGGGTCATAAAGTATTGGGAAAACTCGCAAAAATTGACTATCTCAACACTTGATCAAGCATAATTTGCTTTCCCTAATAAGCATGATGCACTGCATCTCGAAATCTAAACAAGAAGAGAGCTATAAGAAATGCAAAATATTTTAGTTTGGAGCGTTTGCTCGAGTTTTTTCTTTTGTTTGTCTCCATTAATGACTGCCTGCTCCCCAGGTCGAACAAGCACGGTTGTAAACGACCGTATACCGAGAAATACGACCAAATACATGTCCCAGTATTACGATCGTAAACTTCCATGTCGTATACGGAGGATTACGGCTATATACGGAGAAAAATACGGTCGTTTACGACCCTTGTGCACGAAGTTCGTATACGGTCTCCGTTTTGCTCCGTACTCCTCCGTAAGCGATTGTATTTTACCATATACGATCACGGCGACATACGATCGTC